ATCCGGTCGCCAACGTTGGAGAGATTTCCAGGTGTTTTAAGGAAGCGCAACAAGTGCTGATACATGTACGTGTGTAGCGTAGTGCCTGCCTAAAACACTCATCTCTTTCCCGCTGACGCGAGGCCCGTATTCACCCTGAGACCGAATCTCATCGCTCCAGTGAGAACGCGGTACCTAGCACCTGTAGTTTCCAGTTCACCCCCCCTTTTCCCCAAAAGGTAAGCCGACAGTAAGCTTACTGGCGCCCAGCACTCCGATAACCCATACCCCGCAAACTATTATCCACCAGAACAACAAAAAGGGAAACAGAACTGGATAGGAAGGACGCAGCAGCAACCTGCCAACTCGAAGTAACCACAGGTGAGAGGGAACGGCTAGAGGAGCAGATGCAACCAGCAACCAAAGGGCTCTTCAGAGGACTGCCGGAGAAGAGCGGTANGAATCTTGTTGCCTAGATACAGGAACTGCTTCTCCAAATCCAGGTCTACTGCTCATCATTCCAATTGAATAAACAGTTTTACATTTTAAAAACAGATGTCACATCTAACCACAATTTGCATCCCATTCATGATAGGAAAGATACGTCAATTCGGTACACAATCAAAACGGAAATCTCGTCAGAAATAATTAAAACAGAAGAATAAGTTTTTGTGGATTTACTTCTGTATTGGAAATAATGTATTGATTCTTTATAAGTAAGAAACTGAAATGTCTAGAAGCTTTTATACTAAAAGAAAGCTCAGTCCTTCCTCTTCGATTTCGTAAAAAGGGGTTGGGAATATCTTTCAGTTTTCTTCTGAGAATAATTTTAAAATAGCGCGGCACGGGCGGTGCAATGCACAGAGGCCGTGAGGCTGTGAATTTAAATATGACGGTGCAGTGCACAGAGGCTGGTGCTGGAGGGTTAATAGCAAAGTTACTTAAAAGAAGAATGAAAGGATATACTTGGAGAGGATCAGTTTGGATTTAATAGAGGAAAGGAACCAGGAATGCAATTGGGATGATGAGATTTATAGCAGAACGAACTTTGGAGATAGATGAAGAACTGTGCGCTTGCTTTATAGACTGGCACAAGGCATTTGACCGTGTAAATTGGACCAAATTAATGCAGATCCTAAAGGAAACAAGTATCGATTGGCGTGAAAGAAGAATGATTAGTAAATTGTACATGGATCAGAAAGTTAGAGTATGACTGGACAGAGGGGAGACAGGAAGTGTGCAGATTGGAAGAGGAGTTCGACAATGATGCTGTTTATCACCAATTCTGTTCAACTTGTACAGCGAATGCCTTACCAAGGAAGCTCTGGATGGGCTCAGAGACTTCAAAGTAGGAGGGCAAACTTTCAAACTGTGAAATATGCAGATGACCTTGTGTTAATGGCTAAGGAAGAAACTGTGCTACAGGGCATGATTGATAGACTAATTGAAATTGGAAGGTGCTATGGCATGGAAATGAATGTGGAAAAAACAAAAGTAATGAAAATTTCGAGACAACCAACCCCAGTCACAATAAAGATAGACCAAAAACAAGTGGAGAATGTGAAATGTTTTAAATATTTGGGTAGCTTGTTAACAGATGATGGAAGGTGTACTTGTGAAATTAAATCCAGGATTGCCATGGCAAAAGCTGCATTTAGCAAGAAGAAGAATCTTTTTACCAGCAAATTGGACTTAAATTTGAGGAAGAAACTAGTGAAATGCTACATTTGGAGCATAGCTCTGTATGGGGCTGAAACATGGACACTTAGGGCAGTAGATCAGAAACATCTGGAAAGTTTCGAAATGTGGTGTTGGAGAAGAATGGAGAAGATCAGTTGGACCGATTATGTGAGAAATGAAGAAGTGTTAATTAGAGTCAGTGAGCAGAGGAATATCCTACACGAAATAAGAAAACGGAAGGCTAATTGGATTGGTCATCTCTTATGTGATAACTGCCTTCTAAAAGAAGTTATTGAAGGAAAGATAGAGGGGTGGATAGAAGTGACCAGAAGACGAGGAAGAAGACGTAAAAAGATGCTGAATGACCTTGGGCACAGAAGAGGATATTTTCATCTGAAGGTGAAAGCTCTAGATCGCATCAAGTGGAGGAACTGTTTTGGAAGAGACTGCGGACCTGTAGTCTTGACAGATTACTGATGATGATGATGGTGATAAACTACGCAACTGCAGGGTTGTTGAGGTGTTGAGAGGGGAATGATTGATAGATCATTCATTGTCATGATGCGAGAACTGGTTAAAGCCCACCACTTATTCATTCCTAACTATTGTAAAGTCTGAATTAATTTTTCTTAAAGTTTAAAATCCGTTACCTTACATGGAAAGCTTAATAAAGTTTTATTATGTACAGAAATCATGTCTTAATTAATCTGATTCATTACTGCAACTGGGAGTATTTTATGGTTTTCTTTGTACCACCCCCGAAAAAACATTATTTTTTCTTCTTGGAACAATGAACTGAATACAGTGAATACTTTCGGTTCCACCACACTCAACAAAACAAAACTGCTGTAAAGAGCACTACCTTTTGGGATGCAATGCCACTAGTCTTTTGAAAATCAATAAACATCTCAGAGGAATACGTTGCCACCATATTCAGGATCAAAGAGTAAGCCAAGCAAGAAACCAGCGTGAAAGCAAATAGCAAGCACAGCTGGTTTCTTTCTTGGCATACTCTTTGACCATGAAGATACTGGCAAGCAGAGCTGGTTTCTTGCTTAGCTCATTCTTTGACACTGAAGATGTTCGCAACATGTTCCTCAGAACTGTAGGTCCATAATAAATATCTTTAAGCTCTGAAGCATCGATCACAGCACATTGCTGACCCCATAAAGAGAAAAGCTTAATGGCGTTTATTGAAAAGTGTACAAAGTTATTTTTCCTGAATAATGTCTTTAAGCCATGAAGCATCCATCACAACACAATGCTGACCATGTAAAGAGAAAACATGAACGAGAGCATTGTTTATTTTAGCGTGAAAAGTAAAGTGTGTTAATAGTTGCAGGTAAATAATTTGTACGGTACCTTAATCTTCCTTTTCAGTAGAGTTGCACTGAATGACAACATGCATTTTCAAATTCTCGAACTTGAAGGACCTCAGATTGTCACTAACAATGGCCTTGTATTTGGAGAAACTCCTTTCTACGTCGCAAGATATCACAGGGGCATGCTTAAAACAAGTCAAATCACTTGCGTCAAGTTCTAGTTCACTGTTGTCAAATTCAACTTCTTTGCCACAAAGAATGTCAGAAATTGTACAGTGTTGAATATCCAGGATTTCGTTGCAGCACATTTTGTAATTTTGCACTAATTTTCATAGCAACTTCACCCTGTGCTTGATGTAGTTCACTTTCAACTTTCTTAACAATTTGTAATGCATTGCACAGTTGCATGCCCACGGCTTCAAGTCTAATGATGGATTTTGATATCACACTGAAATTTGATTTTATGTACGCTAGATTTATTGACGTGGTTGATGAAAACAAATTTTGTACAGTTCGAATTGAAGATGAATCATCTTTGTCAAACTTCATGAAGATATTTTCAATCACACTGTACTGTGTGCAATAATAATCTGCAGCATCGAGCCAAGTCCCCCATCGTGTTAGAATAGGCTTAGGGGGAAGGGGTAGTGATGGAGCCTCTTCTTTAAACTTCTGCAATCGAAGTGGAGCCTTAACAAAAATTTTCTTCCCATTTGCTATTAATTTATCTACATCAAAGTAGCTCTCTCGCACCTCTTCTGCTACCCTATGCAGAGCATGTGCGAGACACGTTGCATGAATCATTTTGGGATACAGTACCTGAAGTCCCTTTGCTACCTTTACCATATATGGAGCGGCATCCGTTAAGAAGAGGAGCACATTCTCTCGTTCTACCTTACTTGGCCACAGCAAATTCATCGCATTGTCGAAAACAACAGCAATGGAAGAATTATTCACTTTTTCCAACACCTCATTTGCCAATAGGAATATATCTCGAGGCTGGTCATCTTTCAGTATACCAACTACAACATTCGCTACAAATCTACCACTTACGTCGGTAGTTTCGTCGACAGACACCCATATTTTATTATTTCCGACACAGTTCCTTATTTTATTGATGGTAACATCGTAGCAGGATGTGAGATAGTTCTTTCTTAACGTGGATTCGGTCGGAATGGGATGAGTTGTATATTTTTTGCGGAATTTTCGGAAACTAGGTGTATCTACTTTATGTAATGGAATATTTGATGAAACCATCATAGTACAAAGATCCTTTGAAAATTCGGAGGCATTTCCTGATTTCGGTGAACTGGAGGATGACTTTTCAAACAACAATCGCTGTCTACTTTCCGTGGTAATTTCTGTTTACACAGCTTCTATGTTTAGCTGTATTACAGTGTTGTTGCGCCATAAAACGTTTGTCTGCCGTAACTTTCACTTCACACATTTTGCAAAAAAAAAAAAAATTCTCCGTCAGTACTAAAATATTTGTCACCAAACTTTTTAATAAAACCATGCAACTTCATGCTATTAGAGCACTTGACTTTAGGCATCTTGAAACTATACTGAACAACTGAAGTTATGAATACAGTACTGTATTGGACGGGTTTCGGCGAGAGGGTAGAAATTTACCGCTTTGTGGGTGGAAAAATTTTTCACCAATATGCAAGAAACAAACTGGACTTCAGGTACCACTGCAGTGGAGGAGAAAAAGAGAGACAGACAGACAGAGTCAGAGGTGGCAATTTCTCTTTTCAAAGTGGTTGATTCTACGCCAGGTCAAGAACCGTTACCCTTCACGCTGTACAGTATCCCTTCAAATCGCGTTACACAAGGCCAAATATTTTTAAGAAATTAAGTTCCAAATAACATCGTTGCCAACACTTGCAAATATATTTCTGAGCAATAAGTGAAACTCGCCTAAAATATGACCAAAAATATGATTTTATATCACTTCGGGCCCAAATATGACCTAAAGCTAAAATGTGGTTCAAATATGCATTTATATGACCAATAAAAACCGTTTTAAATTGTTTCATTTTGGTCCCTTACACTATTATACATAAAATCNAAAATATTTAAAAGTTTAAGACTTTTGAAGTAAAATATAAAAATGTTAGGCTGCTTCTTAATTTATCCCGATGTTGGGAGATGTCTTGAGGTTGTATTGGCTTGTAGTTGGATTATTCCTGTGCGTTGTGTGTTGTGTACACAACAGCCTAACATTTTTATATTTTACTTCAAAAGTCTTAAACTTTTAAATATTTTTTAAATATTTTAATAGTGATGTTTTAACGCGAGGGCAACTTCGGATGGAATGCGAAGGTTGAACGTGCATTCTGTACGTGCATTCAGTACTCCAAGCTAGTGTTGTGCTTTTACACATCGACATTTGTAGCAGTGCCCACACAGCATATATACTGTGTACAGTTAAACAACGCCAGTATTTTCTTGTTAGTACCATGTGCCTCTGAAGATGGTTTTACTAAAACCGAAACATGTAAGGCAAGAGTGAGAAAGAAGTGACCTAAAAAACATTGTTACACTCGACGGACTTTGTATTGATTTTATAAATAAAAACCGTATTTTAATGTTAACAAGAGTCAGAAATGTGTTTATATTTAATTATACATTTGAAAAGATGCCAGGATAAAAATATGACATGTCATAGAAATCCGAGCCCTATTGATGAGTAATGAATTCATTGGCTTCTTTTGGCTGTCACATCTAACTACAGAATGCTTCACAACCACTACTGTGAGAACTTCAAGTCCTAAAAAACTGTTATAATCTGTTACTAGATGGATGTTTGTAGGAACACTCAAAAATGGATACTGCAACATTTATACATTACAAACAGAGATGTCACTAACTTTCTAATAGTGTAAGGATGAACCATGAGCTATCAACAACTGTCTGCGGAGCACGCATGGAAATGACATTAGTATAGAGATGGGGTAAATCACTTCTTCAAAAAAGGTGTACTTTACTGGGAGGCACACTACAAAGCAGGCAAATGGCAACAGCTGAGACTGACGATTAGCCGAATGTTGAGGAAACAACAGATTTCAAGTTGCTTTGTTGGTATTGGTCACTATGCTATAATTAACTCTGTACAGTGCACTTTTTTTAGTTCGTCATTGAACGATACTCTCAGTACCAAGATCATTCATGTTAGCAATTGGTGGAATGAGAACTGTCAGAAGAAACTGAAGTATTTAGTGAGAAAGTCCCAGTACCAATGTGTCCACCATAAATCCCACCTCACCTCACGTAACTTGGCCTGCGATTAAACCTGAGTTATTTTGGTGGAAAGCTGGCTCTATGCAGCAGACTCCTTGAGATGGTAATAAGTCACTCAACTGGGCAAGAAGTTCCCAGGCTTTTATGAATGATGACAATTCACTGCCACATTCACAGGAGCCTGCTTCTGCTGCCTACCCAAAAAATGGATGAATCAAGCCCATATCATCCAACTATTTCTTTACTTTTAATATTATGTTCCCACCTAAACCTAAATCTGCCAGATGGTTTCTTTCTTGCAGAACCTCCACACAAAATACCACCATGTTAGGGACAGCATTATCCCTCAAGCTTATGCTAACTAAAGCTCACAAGACATAAAGAAATTGTTCTGAAAGTGCCCACAATTTATCAATAATAACATCACTTCAAGAACTGCAGCTTAGTTACACTTATCCCCTTAAAAATAATTTCCTTAAACATGATTGCACTGTTCCCACTGTCTCTTCCACTTGTGGAAGCACTGTTCACAGGATGTCTGTTAAGTCACTTTCAGATCATATGCCACATTCATAATGATGTCCTTCACTGTTTGAACTCTTCTTCATTTTAGGGTCACTTTTATATTGATGGAATAGATAAAAGTCTGCAAGGAATAGGTCAGGCAAATGAAGAGGATGTGGAAAGCCAGGAACAGAATTCTTTGCCAGGAATAGGTCAGGCAAATGAAGAGGATGTGGAAAGCCAGGAACAGAATTCTTTGCCAAGAATTCTCAAACCACCGTGCTGTGTTAGCTAGTGCACTGACATGATGGAGGTACCACATTCCTGCATTCCAAATTTCTGGTCAAATTTTCTTCAAACCATATCCCTCACACATCTTAGAACTTCCATCTTACCATCTGGCCCACTAGAATGAGCTCACAATGAACAAAGCCATAATAATAAAAAGAAACAATCAATACTGTCTTCACTTTCAAACATACAAATCATGACAGTTCAGTGACTCAGGACTCTTCCACAGTGATGATGTCATTTTGTTTCAACAGCATATCCATAAGATCAAGTCTCATCTCTGATGATATTTTCCAAAACATTTTCATTTGGATGCTGATAAATAAAAACTGAATTCTCAGATCTTTGGTCAAAATCCTTGGCATGAACTTTGCTGTGACAGGATGCATCCCAGAATCTTCTGTTAAAATTGTGTGATATGAAGGGATGGATTTTCCAGTCTTTTCTACTACTTCAAATACAGGGACCCAATGATCTGCATGGACATTTTTCACTTGGGCAATCAAATAATTGTTTCTTGATCTTGAAGGTTGGTCCAACCTCTGTGTTATTCGTAGGTCATTATTTTACTAAAAATCATCATTAACATAAGCTCCATTCAATATTTTGTGAGTTTCTGTAGCTTTTTACCCAGTTTACATAAAATTTCACCAATCTCTTTGCTCCTTTACTGATGCCACATCACAATATGACAAAACCTAAACCACATAATCATGTTAACGGTTATAACACTTATAAAATGTTACCCAAGCTCATTGGAATGAACTGCTACACAGATTACAGTCAACTATCAATCATTCTATTATATTGTAGCACCCTGTGGCACTTTTAACTCAGTGTCAATTAATTTTCTACAGTCATCATCTGTAGGTGCATTACTGGCGGCATTCCACATGGTCATCCTGGGAACTTTCTGAACCTCATATGGGAACAGGATCTCTGATGAGCTTTCTGGGAGCTATGATGAAAAAAAAAAATCCTGTATCATCCATTACCATGAACCAGAAGAGAAAATGACAATGAACCCAGAATTATCGCATCCTACAAAAAGAAATTTAAAACACATGTTTCCTATGACAAACTGATCCTTATATTTTTATCATTCATGGTGTCTTACGAGTTAACTATAAGCCAAAATGAGCACCAT